TCAATTTGATGCGTGTATCGAGGTGCCGGTTTGCGAGTATTGGGTGCAGCTTCCCTGCTCGTGATTTGCCCTTTTCCGCTACCTTGGACATGTGTACATTCCACGAGCAGTCTTTTGCGATCTCTACTCCAAGGTATGTGTACTGGTCCACTACTGCAATCTCCTCGATCTCCCACTTCCATCTATGTTCTACTGGTTCCTCCTTGTTCTCGTTGCATACCATGACGGCACTCTTCTGAACGTTGGCAGACAATCTCCACTCATCAGTGAACTTCTTCGCCGCGTCAATTTGCAGTTGCAGTCCCTCAGGGGTGTCCGACATTCCGACAAAATACGCCAGGGGGGGGGGTTCAAACTACAGTACCGTAGGTGTGGCGGCGAAACAACGAGGCGTGATCATGCTCCTGGGGAGACAAGAGAGGCTGGAAACATGGATAAATGGATGGATGGATGGATGCCCCATCGACGGGTGTGTCTCAATGATTGTGGCCCGCCATCGTGGAGCGGAGCACGAACCGACGACCCCAAATCATGACGGCAGAAGGAAAGGGCGTAGTATCTCAGACTCGAGGCCGCTGCTGCCGAACAAGGCACACACCTTGCCCTCGACGTGGTGTATATGCATGATAAGACAGGGATACATCACACCTCGGGCCGCACCCCTCCGAGAGCAAAGAATAAAAACAACAAATTATGCACATTTTGAAGACCCTCACCTCCATAAATACAGCCGGATTTGTCATGTATCAAGAAAAAAACAAAACAAAAAAACGTCGAGTTAGTTACCGTGGGTGTCGTAGGCGGGCCTCTCCCTCTCGAGCTTGAAGACGATCATCCCGCTGTCATGGCCGGCAGCGAGCAGGTTCTGCTCCGGGTGGGCGGCCAGTATCCAGAAGCGGTCGTTCTCTCGCCGGAAGGTCTGCACGCCCATGCGCTGGCTGATGTCCCACACCTATGTATGATAGTGATATGTGTGGATAACACATCAACCACGGCTGCAGACAGTGTTCAGCACAGCAGTACTCTTAATAGCAATGCCATATGCAAATCAAGCAGCACAAACTTCCAGCGTGAACACCACACTACTTTTGTACAATCCCGGGTTGGGCGTGACCCCGCAGTCTCGCTCACCCGGATGGACCGGTCCTCGCTGTTGCTGACGATCAGCTCCCGCTTGGGGTGGAAGATGACGCACGAGACGTTGTTGGTGTGGCCTGTCATGGTGTGCACCTCCCACGCCTTTGTCTCGTTCATGCGCCAGAGCTTCACCTGCGGCCGTCCCGGCGGCGGCGGCGGCGGCGGCATTCAGACCAAAAACGCACAAGGCGAGACAAACGAAACCGTTAGCGAACCATGGGGGTGCTTCGTAGATTCAAGAAGATGGGGAAAAAAGAGTGTGTGTGTGATACAGGGCACCACGGCAAAACCGAAAGTGTCCGTTCATTGTTTCGATCGGTTCGGGTTCCTCTTCGTGTCCAAAGGGATGGAGTTCGACTCGTGCACCAAATCGAGCGTGCTCGAACCGATAGAGACGCTGCCTGCCTTTGGCGACAAGAGGACAAGAGAAACCGTGCTCGCGGCATATACTCCAGGTTAATACAATACACAGCACGGCTCAAAACGCGTCCGATACTCTTGTAATGAAGAAATGCCCGAGGTGACGCAAGATACCGCGCACACCGGCATGTTTCATAGTACTACAACACAGCACAGCGAATGAAGTATTTTTCTCACCTGACGGTCATCCGCCCCCGAGATGACCAGGGGAAGGGTTGGGTGGAAGCTGGCCCAGTTTACACCCCGGTCGTGGCCCTCCAACACGTACTTCACCACGGCATCGGTTCCCCCGAACAGGTCCGAGTTCATCTTCGACACCATGTCGTCATGTTGCTGAAAGGGAAAGAAAGCGAGAGCACCAGCAGGTGTGTTACCAATGGACCAGACAGAGGGTTGTAAAGCAGTATCGCGCAAGAGACGGACGGGCAAAAAGGACGGGGGGACGAACGAGAGAGAGCACCACAAGGGTTCACCACACCAGCTCGTCGCTGCTGTGCATTCTCTAACGAGTTGTAGTACGGCGATGACGAAAAAAAAAAAAAAAAACGAGGCGAAACACAGGGTTTCTCTTGAACGACATGGCGGGGAGGGGGAAACGCGGATTGTTCTTCTCGATACCTACGAGAGGGGCGAACAACTGAACCGCACGCTTCGCCCGTACGAGAAGAGAGACCCGGGCAACACAACCCGACATCCTCATGTACACCGTGTAGCAGCAGAACGAAAACACAAGCAAAGCATGGGACCTACAGACAGCAAGGGAGGAAGGGTGTGGCTTTTGTTGTATGATACAAAATTAATTACCAGGAGACCCGAGTGCCGTCGATCACGTCTACGGCACGTGGGGGGAGGGGTATTGACTATACATAACAGAGCCGAAAAGCACCAGCCAGGAGCGTAGTAAACCGTGCTTGAGTCGCGACAGAAACACAGCCTGGAAAAACCTAACTCAACAACAACGCTGCTAGGTGATTGGCTGTTGCTACAACACCAACAACGACAACAACAGACAATAACGGCGATTCTCGTTGAACAATAACAGCAGTAACAAGGGAAACTCTCACTTGGTGGTAGGTGTCCACTAGGGCAAAAAAAAAAAGGAGAGCACGATGTCTGTTCCAAGAGACCCCCTGCCCCCCCCTCCAAGGTTACTTACCATCGCAGACGGGGCCCCGCGAACAGTCTTCTTTCTAAGCCCCGTGGTATCCCACACTCTCACGGTTTGGTCCAGCGATGCCGACACCACCAAGTCGTCCTGAAAAAAAAGAAGAAGATAGCGCGTCGCGTCAGAAGGTGGGGAAAAGAGGGAGATGAAACATACATCGCGAGGTCCATCACACGACCCCGTGAAGTGAAGAAGGACAAGGACAACAGGGAGAGAGCTGAAAGCTGTTTCGGTACGGCGGTGATGAGAGTAGGACCGGAAGCTCTGTACCACGATACCGGGACTTGGAAGGATCCGTAGCCTTGTTAACGCCGTGGTGGGCGGCAACGCAGTGTCTGCATCTGTGGCGGGTACCGGAACGAAACTTTTGAAAATCGACACCCGCTACTTATAAATTGAGTTCCACCGCACCGTGCGCGGCGGTTTGCCACGGCAACAAGATCAGACCACGACCTCCACAGGCATGCACACGGATCTCACCGACCGAATAAACATCATAAACTCTCAAACCAAAACTACAAGCGGCACCAAGCGTCGTGTCTTCCGGTTCCTTTCTTTTTACCTTCGGGTGGAAAGCGGCGCACATGACATAATGGTTGTGGCCGGTCAAGACCGCGATACACGTCCGGCTTTGCCAGTTCCAAATGCGGATAGTCTGCAGCCCGGAGAAGCAAGAAGAAAACCCGCGGGGAGGACGCAGACAGGGGTTTGTTGGGTGGGGGGGGCGCCGTGACGAACGGGGGACAGTTGAAACAAACACGGACGGCAAAGACGAAAAGGGATTTCAAGAACACTTGTGGCATCATGCGGCTGGACTCACGAAAGCAGCAACAAGCGACGCATTCCTTCTGCCCCCTTTTGTGCCGTTGCGATTGACCGGCCTCGCAACGTCAACACAGAGCCAATCGAAGAGAGACGAACGACATCGAGTATTTATGTACGTAGCAGCATCGAGTAACGCCTGAATAAACAAAAAAATAAGGTCTTCCTTCGCCACGAATAAAAGACGACGTGTCACGAAGAGCTGGCACCGACGCCAGCAGCATAATCGACACACCACACGGCGGTTTATCGTACGTCGATACATGCACGAGAAACGTGTGCATCCCGCACACGACCAAAAAAGACGCCACACACCACACTACGGCAATCACGTAGTAATAGTACGACATAGGTAGTACATGTCATATGATGCACGTTTCGAAGCTTCATGGGGAGCGCGCATCTCCAGGAAGGAGGGAATAGTACCCCAAAATCCAGGAAACATAACGCCATCGAGACGTACGTACGTACGTACGCCCGTGGCGACTGAGAAAAGCGCCCCCTTTCAAAACCACCGCCCTAAGCTTGCCTGGTCGTCCGAAGCAGAGATGATCCACGGGTACTCATTGTGGAACTGCACCGTGCGGATGTAGTCCAGGTGACCCAGGAGGGTGAACAAGCACCTCCGGAGCTTGTAGTCCCAGACCTTACCGTACGAGCAGCAGCAGTTCATGGTGCATTTGAGGAGGCGGGGGGAGGGGGGGGGTGAGGGGAGGTCACCTCATATGAAAGTACACGGTGCACCCAATTGATTCTGGACTCTTTGAGCCACACGCCACATCACAAGCGGCGAGGATGGGCATGGGCACGGCGTGTCGGGAGGCGCAGAGGCATGTACAGAGGCATGTCCTAGGGGGCAGGCTGCACGGGAGAAACAGTGTTCGGCAACAACAGCCGGACTTGAGCAAAGGGTATCTGTCCCGCATGTTCCAGAAGGAAAGGGGACGTGCTTCGTTCATGTAACGCATCAAAAAAGACATCTGTGATAAGTTGAATGCCAACATGCGATGTTTGCACGGCACACTACGCTGGCACTCTTTAAAGACGTGTTTTTCTTTAACCGGTTCCTGCTAAAAATGCAACCAAGGGTGCAAGGCAACAGCCACCATGCATTACGCCGCCAACAAACAATTGATGTGCTGCCTGTCTGTCCCCGTCCTGCTGACCTTGATCTTGTAGTCATCTCCCCCAGACACGATCAGCGGTTGCGTTTTGTGGAAGTCTACCCCTCTCACAGGCCCGTCGTGCTCATCGAACCTACTCCATGCGCCGAGCCCGGTTCACGTCCAATCCCACATCGCATTTCCGCGGCCGCAGTTGGCACCATACCGCCGATGGGAAACAAGGGGTTTGGCAAGAGGGGGGAGATCAGGAGGGGGAGACGGGGTCGTTAAGAGTCATTGCGCGATCATGGCTTAGAGCTAAGCCCCCGCTTCGGGGCATAGCAGTAGACCAAACATAAGGCAAGCGAACACAGCACCCACGTACAAAATCGAGACCCCCGCTTGGCTCGTTGCTACTCGCCACTTTTACGGCGCTTGCTCCGCCGTCCGCGTGGTGACCGCTTCCGAGTTGGCAACATCCTTGAAGCGCGGTGTGTTCGCACAGCACCATGATGCACGTGCTTAATCCCCAGCGGTGACACTTGCGGCGAAGCACAGCAGTAATCGCAGTCCTGGAGCTCGTACACATGTAATTGCGGCAGTCACACAGCCTTGGGGGCAAGCCCATCTACCCCCGAATCTCTCGCCCAAAGTCGCCGCTCGATCAACAACACGGCTGCGGCTTGTGACAGGCCTCTTGGCAGGCTTGACTGTACCGCATGACACGTTGCATGAGATATCACACCACCTCGACCAATAGGTCGCCAAAAGTACTTCGCGACGAAAAGGTGTTGGCATTTAAGCAGATACTTCATATTTTCGGAATGCCCTCGACGAGGCGGGTCCACCGCCGCGGTCTTCGGCACTTTTTCGCTGCAGAGTAATCGAGATTTGAAAACCAGTCCAGGTGGGGGGGGGTATGTCATGCAACCTACGGCATGTTCAAAAGTCCGCAGCTCCTACACTGTGATGTGAGCCCAAAGTGAAGAGACAACGTGAAAATACTTGCACACAAGTTTCCCCGACCTTTCCTCTTGCTGCATTGCATCATGCCGCTTGCCGTGGCTTTAGGCTAGGCTGCCGTTACCACAGATAGCGTTGGTGCTAAAACGCAACAACTCGGCAGCTAGGTATTCCACGCCCTGCCAACATTATACCACACATAGGAGAGAACTTGAGCACCACACCATTTGTGAGCCCGGTGAAGAAACTCGCACACAAAAACCTATACAGCGGCCACTTGACAGCCCACCAGAGGAACTAAGAAGGGCCACAATTAGACGTTCTTTACAAGCACGGGCGGTATCTGTATGGCTCTCAGCGACATACCCAATGTGGCATTTAGTCCCCGATAGTTTGCGCCCGCCTATGCATACACAACAGGCGTCGCCGTCTCATGCACATCTATACAAATATATATATTGTGCATGTAGACAGCACGACACGGAGTTAGCCCGCAGGAGCAGCTCTCACCGGTCCAGCAGCGTCCCCATGCGGTAGTCCCAGAGCTGGATGATGCCGTTGTGCAGGGACGTGAGAATCCATGGTCGGATGGGGTGGAACGAGAGCCCCTTAACCCTGTTACTCTTGGACTCGAACTTGGTCAGCATGGTGGCGGCGCCAGGCGGCGAAAAGCCTCCTCCAGGTAGAGCACCTTAATGTTAGCAACAGCCGCTTCCCCCCCAAAAGACCAACACGACAGCGTTTTGCCTCGCAGGCGGCAAGACTCCGCGCTCCCTTGGTCCTATTCAACCGCCCCCACCGCTGTACCAGCGTTTTCACTCCCGCGTTCGCGTCCGAGAAACAGCGAGCGCCTGAGCCCCCCCCCCACCCGCACATGACGACGGGCGATGAAATGGACACACGAAAATCGGGTGTAAGGTTTGCGAGAGTGGTGCATAGGCGGTTCTGGACTTCTGTGCGACACACTGCTGTTGCTTCTTGTCTCATTGGCAGAAGAACTAAGCGGCAACACAGGTCGACATCTGTCCACCTGCATCGGTTACTGGTGCTTGTGAACCGCAAGCGAGATCGGCGTCCTTGTTGCTACACAGAACAATCGGGAACACAAGACATGTTGTGAGCACGCAAAAACCTCGCAAGATGATAGAGAAAACGCGGAGAGCTGTGCTTTCTACCCTCGGGCAGAACGCTTACACACCACGACCGTACCAGACAACAACAGCAACGTAGTCATACATGGGTGACCAGGCTAGGCTAGAACAAACGCCGGCCTGCTTGCG